TTAATTTAACAACAATTAAATTACCTGTTCATTAACATTGTTTAAATAATTAAGTGATAATTATTTGAACGTTTACATGGAGAAAGAAGTAAAATAATTTATCCTTTTAAAACTTTCATTGAAAATGATATGTTTAATGGTTTAGGATGGTCAAACATCTAACATAAATGTGAATTCTTTATTATGAAGCAGAATGCATAATTATAAATGCTACGCATATGGTTTTTTCAGTAACATTCCTTTGCATAAATTCCACCAACATTCACATCATTTTGAATGGTATCAAAAGATTTTTGTTGTAAGGTTGTATTTAAAATACATAATAATAATAATATCCTTTCCTACATGTAAATTTAATGACCAATCTTTAATAGTATTAAATATTGCACATGAAGTATACCTATTATTTTATATATACACCATCTTTTCATATGCTATTTGCAATAATCAGCCTTGTTTTTCCTGAAGGAACCAAAAAAGAGCACATTAATGTTGTTATTAAAACAGAAAAAAATGAGATCCAAGTGACAGAAGATACTCAATTAATGAACATCATATCAACCACATCACAAATGCCCATTTTAATTTTTCATACAAGTAAGTAACATTAGATCTGGCATTTTACGGTTTTTGTTATATATTAATGATTGAAAAATCATTTTTTTAGTAGCACGGCCTTTTTCCAGTTATACCTTCCAAGAAGCCTCAAAGCTATTTAACCTTAAAGTAGACAGCATGGGAGAATGTCCAGTTTATCATCAAGGGATTGCAGACTTGGTTGGCATGGATCGCTACATTAATGATACTGTTTGGGACCTTATGGTAACTTTGATAATTTATTTCTTATTTACTAGATATATTATCTAATTATATGATATTTTATTAGTGTTTACATAGAGCATATGGTGATGTTTCTGGAACAAACGAAGCACAATATTCCGTTTTTATAAGAGCCGTTCTTGTTGGAATCATCCACACCTATAACCCTGCAGACAATTATCTACTCCTTGAACAAAAGGTAATTATGGGAATTTATGGAATGGGGCCTGTTGACTTTGTAATCAAAAAAGGAAACCAGTTTATTGGTGTAACAGAAGCAAAAAAAGAAGCCATTAGCAAAGGTTTCGCACAAAACCTGATCCAGTTGCATACTTCATATATGGTCAGTTTTTATATTTTCTTGTAACAATATATTTTTCATGATTCCTTATTATTATATTTGCATTTATTTATTTATTAGGAAAATCAAAAAAGAAATGATAATGAAGAAACTGATGGGTTACGAGTTCTATTTGGAATTGTTTCCACAGGTTCGCAATGGTTTTTCATCATTTAATTCATGGACCCAATAAAAAGTATCCAATTGTTCAGAAAAGTTCTCTTCCGCCCATCAATCTATCTGTAATTGGTCATGAATTTGATGAAAAAAAGGTAAAAGAGGAAGTTTCTGCGTTATTCAGTTATTTAAAATGGTCTATGGATTTATTTGTTGAGATTTTATATATGGATGATTCAAATGCTAAAAGGCAAAAATTAAATCTTTAAGTATTAGTTTATGCACATAAAACTATTATATAATTAGGAATATATTTATATTGCAAATGATAAAAATGTTTTTTTTAAAGTTTGTTCAAAATTAAAAGGTGGAAATGGTTTATTAGGTTAATAACTATTTATAATGTAAAACATCATTAGGCATCTAATTCTTAAATATTTGCATATTATATAACTTAAAAAATAATAATTAACTTGTAGAAAATTTAAATAATAAAAAATGTTGAAATATTTAATATGAATCAAAAAACTATTTTCAGTGATAATTGTAATTGCCAATTTTGAACCCTGAAATCTCTAAAGTGACATAATATTAATATTCACTTTGTCTGGTTTTGTTGCAGCATGCCCCATATAGAATTACCTCTATATAAAAATAGTTAATACGAAACTCATTTATATTAGGTCTACTATGGAACCCAAGAATTATAGCACCATTAGAAGTATTTTGAAAAAGGAACAAGGTGAAAAAATTGCTCCTTACATTTTTAAATTAGCAGACACCAAATCTTTGCAAACATATTTAAATAAAGAAAGGATTATCTATGAAATTTATCAAGAAGAAAGAGTTTTCAAAAGAGCATTAGAGAATTCTAGTAAAGAATCAAGAAAAAAAAGAAAACTGGCAGAATAACTAAAACAAATAATTGCTTTCAAATGAGAACTGATTTCTTCCTTAGCACTGTATAGTTGCTGTTTTAAGTCTTTATTCTGCTGTTCCAATCTGCCAACATAACTCTGTGCCATTATTTCTATTATGGTTGGGGTTTTGACTGGTTCATATTTCCTTAAATCACAAAAACAATCTATCCTGCTTCGCATAATTCTACCACAATCATTACAATGTGGCAAAGTATTATCATCAAGAGCTTTTTTACATTCAACACAAATATAAGCAATGTCATTGTAATCATTATTGCTTGTATTGTAAGACAATATTTTGTAAGTAGCAGTTAAACTTCTTTCTCTTTCAAAAGGGCAGAAATTACAATGCCATTTATCTCCTCTTCTTAACTCATTAAACTGGTATTCTATTTCATACTATTTATTCTTTTGTAAAATATAGGCATTGAATTTTTCTCTGGTTATTTCTTTTACTTGGCTAACTTTGTTCTTTATTTTGTTAGTCAGGAGCTTAAATTTGTTTTCTTTCCTTGGTAAAACTGATAGTTTTTGAAGTTGCTTGTCTGCTAAATAATTCTGCCATGCCACAATGTTTTCTAGCAGTTCTATTTTTCTCAAAGCCTTTTCTAAGTTGTCATCTTTTTCCTTGCTTTGCCTTTCTCTCCATTGTCTAGAGCCTCTAAATGACATCATTCAGATGTTTTCACTTCTAGTTCTAATGCTTCTTCCAACTCTTGATTAATTTGCTGTAACTCAACAACCTTTTCTTCTAGAAGAGCATCTTTTTCTTGATAAGTAAAACCTAGGGGTAAGTAAATATATGGGGACAACTCAATGTTACACATTATACATGCAGCCCAAATTGGTTTAGTGATGTCATACATGAAAATGAAATTATGTGAAATTAAGGTTTCTGGTCAAAACTGCTTCTATTAGTAGCCGAAATTGCCCAAATACTTTGGGCAAAAATTATTTTTTTATAAGCCCAAACTACTTTTTGTTATTTGCCGAAATTGGGCAAAATTATTTTAAAGTTGATTAAGTTAAAACAAGTTGATTCATATAGTTTTTTAATGTTCATGCTTATAGAAAATGTCGAGAAGCCCAAATTGCCCAAACTAGTTTGGGCTTTGAGAAAACAGTTTGGACCAGAAACCTTATGTGAAATCCAAATTTACATGTGTGAAATACAAATTAGCCAATCAGGATTTCACCCCATTCCATAATATTTCAATTTCACATACAACAGTGATTTCAATGGTCAAAATTATTTAAATTTTGATGGTAATAAGTAGAAATTAATTATGACACTCACTATTAAAAACATAAGTGTAACACCCCTTTATGACAGTGTCAAAATACTTTGGGCTGCATGTATATTACACATATAGATATTTGCAGATCTTCCAATTCCAAAACTGTCTCCACTCCTAAATTAAAAGATGTCATACATTTCATAGTAAAAAAGAGAACTTTAGATAGAAAACTTTACACACAAGAGTTTTTGAACAGCTGATGCAAAAAAATTAAGTTATTATTGTTGAAAGCTTTATACTTCTCAAAATTTCTCTTGATCAGGCTTGAAATGACATTGTTAATTGTTAATTACCAAGAAAACATATATTATATATAAGATTAATGACAATTATTCATTTTACTTCTGTTTGCAAACAAATTACAAATCACAACAAAATTAAAATAATTATAATAAGCATAAATAGTGGGTGAATGATAAGCAGGTAAAGAAGTAATATATATACACACACACATATTATTAAATTATTAAAAATATATATATAATAATGTCACCAATTAATTTTGGGAGAGCGTATTTTAATTGATGATAACAAATTTTTATTATTTTATGTGGATCAGAATGA